GGGCTGGCATTTATTCACGTGCTCAGCTCAGCCCCCCCACCCCCGCTGCAGTGATCCTTGCCCCATTCACCAGCAATGCCCATTGTTCGGGGCACCGGCGAGCGGAGCTGGGCGATACCACTGCAGCGGGGGGGGAATTTGGAGGTGGGAGGACCCAGCCAGGCCGGGGCAACGCAGCCTGCCCCCCAGCTCCTCCGTGGGCTGGACCCAGCGGGGCAGGGAGCGGGTTAACCCGAGAGAAGCAGCCGGAGTGGGGCAGAGCCGGGCCCAGCCCCCTCCGGTGCATGGGCCGGCCGGAAGGCGGTCTTAAAGGCCCCGGTGGAACATTCGCGGCCGCAATACTCGGGCCTGGGAACGTCGGGGGCTTAAGGCTCGGCGTCCGCGGGGCCGGGCAGCCATGCTGGTCAAGGTCAAGGTGCTGTATTGGTAAGCCGCGGGGAGGGTCACCCCTTCCCTCTCCTTCTTGCGGGCTTGATTAACGCCTCTTAATTAACTAATTAATTAATTTTCTTTGCGATGAAGGCGTCGTGCGAGTGAGGGTGGGGGCAGGGGCCGATCCCGGGCGTCACCTGCCCGTGTGTGGGTGGGTCTGGAGGTTGGCAGGTGGAGTACAGGTGCCCCCAATCCCTTGCACCTGGAGCCAGGGACCCCCTGGGGCTTCGTGCCCCCGCTGGGATCCCCTGTCCCGGGCGCAGGGACCTGCGGGGGGGGGTCGGGTTTGCCCCCCGTCCTTCCTGCAGCGGGTCTAGGAATAACGAAAGTCTTTCCGTCCTCGAATGACCCCTCTGGCCACGCTCCTTGACTGTCTGGTGCTGTTGTGCCCCTCGCTAATGACGACCCCAAAACAGCCGGTGCTCGTTAGCGGCCTTCTGCTTCCAGAGAAGATGGGCATCTGCCTTGCCTGGCATGTGTTCATTTTTGTACCCCTCCAAGCCAGTCCTCTGCTGCGCTGCAAAGTGGCTAGTAGTCGGACGTATGTTGTCACGCTCCTGGTTGCGGGTGCGCGCGGTCATGCGCATGCGTGGCCTTATCAGCGTCTGACGTGGTTGTGGAGCCCTTGGCTCCTCTGGGGCTGCGGGTCGGAGGGAAGTACCAGCGCTGTCCCCGTAACGGCAGGGAGAAGGAGCGTGGGATGAAGCGAAGCCACGGTTGCTAGCGAAACTGTTTGCCTTGCACTCTCCGCGTTGCCATTGGGCAGCGCTGCCCAGCCCCTGTTGCCGAGAGGCTTCTTTGCTAGACAGACAAACCTCCGGTCTTGCCAAGGGGGAAAGCGTTGGGAGGCAGGCAAGGCTGGAACAGCTGTGAGGTGTCCCGTCTTCCCGGCGGGATTGCCTGCGTGCGAGAGAGGTGATGAGGGTGACAAGGCAGGAAGCGTGAAGTGCACGCACACCTTTGCCAGTTGCTGACTTTAGAAACTCCTTTGGCTTTGGTGTCTAAAGGCAGCACTGCAGCTGGTTGGAAAGGACTGGATTCAGCTCTCTTAGTTATGCTAATTAAAGTAAGTAGCCAAAGCTGTGCTGGTTTTGCTGGGCTCCTGCAGCCTCTCCAGGCTGACGTTGGCACCCTTGCCTCTGAAGATCGTGCTGCCTTCGGGGGAGGCCCACGCGGAGCTGGAGATGAATCAGATCTAGCTGCCAGTTGGCAGCATGGGAGGAATGCGGAGCTGGCCGGGTGGGAGGCCTGCTTGGTTAAGGATATGAAAAGCTGACCTGATTCTCTTGTCTTCCCTGCAGCGGGAGCTGAGGCTATGGGTCCAAGGTAAGATGACTTCCCAGGCTCATATCTTATTCCTGGCATGGGGTCTGGTCAATCCAGTGGGTATGGATGGGCAAGAGCATCCTCCCCTTGTAAAATGGGGCTGTGGGGTAGCAGCGAATTGCTGCCCCGGCTGTCTGACCTCATCCAGGGCTTGGGGCTGGGTGAAGGGCTGCGTTGCCCGCTCCGCTGCACATGGCACCTTCCTGACCTGTGACAGGGCGGCGTAAATGGAGCTACCCTGGTGAGGAACCGGGTGTTGAAGGAACCTGGCCCTGGATAGAAGAAGGGGCTTTTGTACCCTTGGCCGATCCAGTGAGCCCAGGCTGGAGACATTTGCCTTGCGTTTCTAGCTGGCTGCCAGGGCAGGAGCACTAAATCCTAACCCACCAGCCAAGGCGTGTGAATTCCTTGCAGTCTCCCTAAGTCCTGGAGATACGGCTCGGGCATGTGCTGACAGGGGCCTGCCAAATGTTAACGCCGTGCTCTACCCTCTTTTTCTCTGCCCCAGTATCGACAGCTCAGGCTGGAACTCGAAAGCAGGTTCCCAGGCAAGCTGGAGATAGTGAGTACCTTGGGGCTGGCAGGGCTGTGTCGGGGTGGTTCCCCTGTCTGCCTGCTGCTTTGTTGGCTTCACGGGCACAGCTGGGGGTAGGGAAACCTCCTGGGGTTCTGGTTCTCTGTGATGGCAAAAGGCTTGTTCTGGGCCGCAGAAAGGAGACCGATAGCAGCTCTCATGCTCCCCTCTTGTGGGAGCTTGTTGAGACTAACATCCCCGTGTCTCCAGGATCAATCCTGACCCTCGTTCTCAAGTTGTTATCCATCTGATCTGGTGTCTGTCCAATGCAGGCAGAACCTCGCAGCGCTGATGGTTAGAAGCCTCCTGATTTCCAGCTGATACTTATCCTTAGCCAGTCTTTACTAGTTGTTCTTGTGCTAATTGTGGGCACGGCATACAGCGCCTTTGTTACTGCGCCATCGTTTGGTACGTACTTTTGGAAGTACTAAAATATGGCACAGTAACAGTCCATAGTGTGCCGTGCCACTTGCGCACAACTATATTTGGCTGCTATGGTGCCGTAGCAGCGTCTTGTGTAGATGCGCCCTGTATCCCCTATTTTCAGCAGCTTTTTTTTTTTTCCCCCCCCTTGCTGGAGGTCAGCTTTGTGCTTCTGCAGAGGTGCAAGAACTGCTATAATCAGCAGTGAAGCGGGAAGCTGCTGTTCTAGGCCTTGGGTGATTTTAGTAGCAGATAAGTCGGGTGGGGGGGACAGTCGTCTCTAATGACCGGTTGGTTGCCGCATGAGACGCAGCTGAGCGTTGCCTGGTAATTCATGCTTCACTGTTTTGGGAATGTCTCGGTCTTTCTAATAAGAAACATAGGTGACACTGCTTTCTGATCATGGATGTCCAAAAAATGGGACCCAGCTAAAGAGGGGGTGGGGATTTGTCTGGCTTAAGAAAAACCCAGTCTTGCCTTGGGTTCTGAAGTCTCAAGGTGACTCTTCCTGTCTTCTCAGAGCAGTGAGGGGACTCGTGAGGCCACAGGATGGTTTGAAGTGTCAGTCGGAGGCAAGCTGGTGCATTCTAAAAAGGTAAGCAGCCCATCACCCTTGTGGGGCCAGGACCGGGCTGCTTTGCTTCCGGCCCATCCCAGAGGTGTTGAGAGTATGAGGCTGAGAGGTCTGGTGAACACTGGGTGCAGATGCTGAAATGGGTCCTTTCCAAAGCCAGAGAAGGTTGGACGAGTGCTCCTCTTGGAATCGTGCAGGCTCAATGGGGTCTGCCTCTGGCTTGGGAGCTTCCAAGGGCCAGATGCTGTGGTGGGACATTTTGGGGGTTCAATGGGTGGCTCCTTCTCATGGTCAGTATTGAGCTAACGCCATCAGTTGGTGCTAGGAGGAGATGGGTTGCTGGACAGACCAAGTCCCAGCAACCGATTTATGCAGAAAGTGTTAATCCTACCTCTGCCTGGATGTCAGTGTGGGGAGCAGAACTGCAGCGAGAGGCAAAATTAAACGCATGGGAGTTCCCTTACCCCCACCCTGAAGCTACTAGCTTCTACAACAGTGGCTGAATTCAGCCCTGGAGGAAAGATCCAGATTTTTGCCACAAAGTTTCCCAAATGACCATGCTTCCCTCTGCCCTGGAGGAAGGATATATATATTTTTTTTCTGTTAAAAAATTCCTTCCTTTGGCAAACTCAGCTGTAGATCTTGCTGCCGCCAGTCTGCGGGGGGGCAGTGGGGGGATTGTAGCTCTTGATTTGGTGCCAAAAGATTTGCTATGGCTTAGTGCATCTCCTTGATGTGTGCTGGGCTGGCTGAAGTGTTGAGCGCTGAAGTTCTGTCCCTGTAAGCAGAGGTTTCCAACCCCCGGGCTTTTGCCCGGTACCGGTCCACAGGAGGTTTTGGCTGCCAGTTCGGAAGTGACCAACACACTGGACCAGCAGCCAACCTTTTCCATATTGAGTATAAAAAAGGGTTGGTTGCCAGTCGCTTCTGGACTGCAGTATGCTGGTCCGCGGTCTAAAAAAGTTGGAAGCCACTGCCTGGAAGGACCCTGGTGACTTTCACAACAATCAGGTCATATGTTGTCGGCAGATGGAGGGAAGTGGTTCTTCCTCTTCCTAATCATCACTGCTGAGGCCACATCTGGAGTCCTGTGTCCAGTTTTGGGCCCCCACTACAGAAAGGATGTGGACGCATTGGAGAGAGTCCATCAGAGGGCAACGAAAATGATTTGGGGGCTGGAGCATGTGACTGGTGAGGAGAGGCTGAGGGGAACTGGGCTGTCTTCTGCAGAAGAGGAGGAGGGGATTGAATAGCAGCCTTCAACTCCCTGCAGGGTGGTTCCAAAGTAGGCTGGTCCCAGTGGTGACAGATGACGGAACGAGGAGCAATGGGCTCAAGTTGCAGCAAGCGAAGTTGAGGCTGGATATTCTCCCACAAGGATGGTAGTAAAACACTGGAACAGGCTCCCTAGGGAGGTTGTGGAGTCTCCATTCTTGGAGGTTTTTTAAGACCTATCTAGACCAAGCCTTGGTTGGGATGATCTAGTTGGGGTTGGACTAGATGTGACCTCTTGAGGTCCATCCCATCTTTATTTTCTATGACAGTCACATCTGGGCATCCTCTAGACTGGGTCCTGCTTTCCCCTGTTTGGTGAGGGAAAGGGATGGAAGCTTTTGGGGGTTTTCTGTTTCTTTGTTTTGTCTCTTCTCTGGCCTTTTAATTTGAAATATCAGAAGCCTCAGACCCTGATCCCTGACGTTTTGGGTTGAGATCTGACCGGCTAGGATCCCAGCAGCAGCAACGAGCTTTGTCAGGCCTTTCAGTCCACAAAGGCGTTATGAGACTTGCGGGGCCCACTTCTCAAACAACGCATTGTTCCCTGTGTTCCAGCACTGCAGTCTCATGACCGCTGTTTCGCGGTGATACAAACGGGTGAGGAGAAAGCAAGCGCCTTGCTTAGGAACCCTCTCAAATAGGGGCTTGACTCCCAGGGGCCGCAGCCGTGGACAAAGCTAGCAGCCACGTGGTGCCCCGGGGAATTAAATGGAGCCTTTTCCCCTCCACAACGCCTTCCCCTCCCCACCCTGGCTTGGGAAGTTAGTGGCCTCTCTAACTTGCTGCTCTCTGGCAGAATGGCGATGGCTTTGTGGATGACAACGACAAGCTTGACAAGATCTTTACGGCCATCAAACAGGCTCTGGCATAGGGACACCGGAATGCATTGGTGATAAGTGTATAACAAAGGTAAGGCTAGAGTGTTCCTGTTGGGCCATGGCATGTCTGCCCACTTACAGCTGAGTGTTTAGTAGCGTAGACAGTTGGCAAGTGGAATAGCTCCCAGTAGTGTAGATGGTCAGAACAACAGCTTTTCTGTCTGATTTGTTGGCTGAGTGCTGGTTTGATGCCACTCTGAACAGCAAGGCTCCTAACACTGGTCTCTCTCTCCTTCCCTCCCTTCAGCTTGAGGAGAATCTACCTTGTTCAGCCCAGCCGAGCGCTCGATGACAGGAATGGCTGAAATATCCCTGGATGCGAGGCCATTCCTCGAAGCCCTTGCGTGGCATGCTGGTGTGAACGGTGGTAGATGGGACTCAGGTTCTGCTCTCTGAAGTGCTTTTTATGTATGTGCCAGTTGCACCCGGGGTGGGAATGGCCTTCGTTAACATGCAATGTTTGTCTGTCTCGCTGTTTTCCAATGAAAGTGCCTCTACCAATCTGACATCCAGGGCACTTCCTTTCTGTCTGACCATGCAGTGAAATCTTAGTGCAGACGCTTGCATAGTAAGCTCTGTCAGGGGTCACTGGGGTGAGGGGGTCACTGGGGTAATTATCTCCATCTTATCCATCCACTGAAGTCATGGCCCTGCTTCACATGGGCAGCACCTGATGTGGAAAGAGGAAGCAGCAATGTCCCGCTGAATCTGCATTAGGGGGTGGAGCAGGGTAGTATGCAGATTAAAAACAGCACGCCATTGTTTTCCAACCGGAGCTGCAACTCCTGTCATTGCTGAAACCCTCGGGATTCTTCCTGGGAACCAGTTGTTCTGGGTCGCCATCAGAACTATTTCTTCTTTCTCAAACCTCAATCTCCATCCTGGTAAGACGCTTCCCAGATGCTGTGTAATTGAGTTGTGTGATTTTTGCTGTTGTCGCACTTAAAAGAGTCTCCAATAAAATCCTTTAAACATGGTGAGCTGTTTTTTTGTGGTGCTTTTTTTTTTTTTCTTCCCTCTTGCTTGCTTTGTGACCCAAATAAATTGCACACCAACAGCAGGATTACCCTCTTGGATAGGGCATTGCGTCTCCTTACAGGGACAGCTTGCCCAGGAGCTGAATGGTTCATCGTTATGCTCCAAGCAGGCTGAAAGCTTCATCCTCGGGCCAAAGGCTAAAGCTGTAACAGGATGGATTTGGTCACAAGTGTCAGATGCTATCAGTGTCTTCCATTTCCACGTGGCAGTCCATTGAACAGGCCTGTCTTTCCACAGTGCTGGGGTAGAATGCTGCCTTCAAAATGCAAGGTCCTGCCTACTACCAAGCAGACATAAGTCTTTTGTCCCTCTGGGGTTTTGTCTGATCTCCCACCCTGTACTGCTCCCTCTGGAGGCAGCAGGGAACAAAGGGACTGTTTTGAACTGCTTTCCACTCAATACATTCAAAATAACCTGGCAAACAGATGGTCCTGAATTTGCATGTATAGCTACCTACTTGCTGTTGGCTCCTCTCTGCCGTTAAGGAGATGGCCTGGGACAGGAAGTCAGTAGCATCCCCTGTCTGGCACTGAACATTTTGCGCTTAAGTTCCTGGAATTACTGCAAATAGCAGAGTCACTGTGTCACATATGTGGGCTGGTTCAATGTCTTGCTGCCACGTAATAAATACATCTGCTGGACCCAACTTCTGCCGAGGATTTTAGTGTTACATGGTACCTAGAGACTGCCTATTAATTCTGTCCAGGTTGCACTTTTTGGTGCTGTGAGGTGAGCTGGGGCTGTAGGGAGGGGCTTCAATCAAATGCACCTACATTAAAGAAAATGTCTGTATTTTAGTTCTTGGCTCAGTACATTTAAATCTTTTATGAGAGGAGAAGGAAGATGATTCTCTAAACAACGTATAGTAGCAAATTGGTGGTATAAAATGTCTTGTTGGAGGAAGACATCTTTAGGTAAATCCAATATCTTTTATTAAACCAACTCAAATAGTTGGAAAAATTCTTCTTGTTGGAGGAATAGAGTCAAGTCTTCTGTCTGTTGTATCTGGTGGCTAGCACAGGCAGGAGGTCTAATGAGCTGGCCTCTTTCGGCATTAAGATCTATAGGAGATTGCAAAGTAACAGCCTCCAAGCTGTTCCTGAGCTGTTGCCTACCTGCATAATAAGGAGCAGGTACTCAGACCACACTTGGGAGAAGAGAGGTGGGGGGGGAGGGGAAGATGGCTTTATCAGAGCTTTTTTTCCAGATCAACATTGAGGGATGGTGTTGGGACATGTTAATTCCAGCTAGAACTGGAATAGCAAAAGCTGAGAAGGGAGGGGATGGCTGTCGAAGGCTGGCCCAATTAATGGCTAGAATTTGGCTCTATTAAGAAACACCTTGATGAGTAATCAAAGATGGAGATCTTTCTCTGTGGACTAGGAGAGGGCTCTGCTGCCTGGCAAGGAGATTTGCTTACAGCTCTGAATGTTCATTGCCATGACAACTTGATCTGTTCCCAGCCCATTTTCCAGCACAGGGTAGGCTCTTGGAAAACTTTCACCCGCAAATGCAACAAGCTTGCTTTTTATTATTGCGTAATTAGTGTGATTAAAGGGAAAGCTCAAGTATTTGGATTTCCACCCGCCCCACCACACGCTCCCACCTCTGTTTAAATCCTTAACGCACAGCTCCCAAGTTTCCTTATGGTACGGTTAATGGAAAGTAGGGGGTTTGTTGGGGGGGTTTGCAGCGGGGATCATGTGACAATTAAGAATAAACAACTAGGGTGGTGCCCCTAGGGTGCGGTGGCCTCCAAAAGACGGCTGGCAGAGGGCAGTCTTCTGGTTCAGGGCTTAAATGCAGAGCCAGGACTCCTGGGTTCTGTTGAGACAAGGTGTCACCTTTTCTGCAACGCCCACCTTCCCAGGAATAGTTGGAGGCAGCTGAGGTCAAATGGCAGCCTTCTGTGAAGATTACTTATTTTCCATCCATGGCTCCCCGTGCACTAAGCAACTTGGCATTTGGTCTAAATATGGATTTAGTTACTCAAGTTTTGAGGACGTGGTTGAGCGGGATGAAGAAGTGTAGCTCTGCCCTCTGGTGACCACAATGATGAATGCAGCTACTGTAAACATGATTCCCTGGTGATCTCAAGCGTTTTTTTACAGGACAAATTCAGTCGCTGTATTACCTTGTTTCCACTGTGGTGGCACCCACAGACGCCAGCCGAGGACAGAGATTGTATTGCGTCAGGCTGCTGGAGAAACATGCCAAGACAGTCCCTCCAAAAGAAAACCGTCCTGTCCTTTCGAAGAAAGAGGAAGCAAGGACTTGACTAGAGCAGAACTTGCTGACTGCTCCCAAGATCATCTACTGTGCTTAGGAAATTAGATTGTGCACTTTGGTCATGTAGGCCAAACTCTTATATGTGTGCTCAAATGCAATGGGAGGCCAACCTGAACGATCTGGTTTGGATTAGATCTCCATTGTGCTAGATACTCTGCATAAATAGTCTGTGTCCGAAGGAGGTCCGAAAGAAATCCTGGGGTCAGGGTGCATGTTGTTGTTGAAGGTGCTTTCCATGAGTTTACTCTACTGGATGTCAGAATTAGACCTTCAGTAATGGGCACCGTGGTATTTCTCAGTTAAATTGGCATTTGAGGGCTGGAGACTGAAGACCTCTGCTCTCCGCAGGGTGGTGTGAAGGTACGATACTACTCTTCTGGAGGGACTTAACACTTAAGGGGATGGAGGAGAAATCTCTCTTAGCCCATTTCCACTTTGATCCTTTAATCTTTATGAGCATTTGTCATACTAATATGAACACCCCTCTCATTAGCAACTGCAACAGAACAATCAACTCTGCTGAGGACCTCTGGGGAAAAAAAGTGTGTTTACTGTGGCGGCCTTTGCATGAATTGGATTATTATCCTTCCTGGCTACAATACAGCTGTGTTCTGGCCTACATCCACGTGCAGGTGAGTTGCGTTTCAACAGCCTCTGCTCAAAGAGACCAAATGAAATGATTGGGTGTATGAAAAAGTGAAGTACTACCTAGAAACATGGTCATGGTTAACAGAAGCAGTCAGCTGAGGGCCAGGGCTCTTAATCAAAATAGTGGCTGCTTGTGACTGTTTATCTTTAAAGCCTCTGTCTGCAAGTATATAAGTGACCTAGTTTTGGTGCTGACGCTGCTGCTTCTGTTCAGACGACTGGCATAAACCAGCTTGATGAGACTCGCACCAGTGCTCTGCTGTAACGCACAGGCCTCAATGCCTCTTGGTGCAGGTCAGCAGAAGACTGGCATGACAATAGCAATGATCCCTCTTGGCATGGCTTGGTGTGAGAGGCAATGTCTCCACTAAGGTTTCTGCCTACCCAACTTGGCACAGCTAGGAGGAACTTTCTATGGAGCTGCCCAAGCATTACCAGTCTGTCTAGAGAAATTGTTGGGTCTTTATCCTTGGCAGTCTTCACGAATAGGTTCGACAGACACTTGTCTGGGATGGCTTAGTCAGGAACGATGCTGCCTTGAGCAGAGGCTAAATGAGATGACCCCATGAGGTCTCTTCCAGCCCTACTTCCTTCTGTTTCTATGACAGGTATTAACTCTAATCACTGAGACCCAGGCAGGGTCTAGATGCAAATCAGGCGCAGAACTTACGCACTCGGTTGGCCTGAACCATCCATGGTGCTTGGCGTGATGTGAGCCAGGACCCAGGCAGAGTCTGAATGCAACTCAACGGGTGCCTTCATACATTCGAGTGGCCTGACCCATGCAAGGCGCTTGGTGGGACACACGGAACATGCATGTCATGGAAGAGAGAAACATGCAATGGGTGCAATAACCTCATGGGATGTATCTGACCGTGGGGGGGGGGTCCCCACCTCCCACGTGAGAGATTCGCCATGCTGTGTGGAGGCGAGGTTGGCACCAGTGACCCATGCAAGACACTCGTCAGGACACATGAGAGAAGCACATCATGGAAGAGAGACATATGCAGCAGATGCCATAGCCTTCATGAGGAGGGGGGTCCCCAGACCCCACACAAGGGGCTCGCCGTGTTGTATGGAGGCGAGGTTGGCACAAGCAACCCATCCGTGGCACTTGGCGAAACCCATGCAAGAGGCATGTCATGGAAGAGACACATATGCAATGGGTGCAGTAGCCTTCATGAGGATGGGAGGTCCCCAACCCCAACGCGAGGGGCTCGTCGTGTTGCGTGGAGGTGAGGTTGGCACGAGAGACCCATGCACGGCGCTTCGCGGGACACATGCGAGAAGCATGTCACGAAAGAGACACACATGCAAGCAATGGGTACGGTAGCCCTCATGAGGACAAGGGGTCCCCAACCCCCACGCGAGGGGCTCGCCGTGTTGCGTGGTGGTGAGATTGGCACAAGCAACCCATCCACGGCACTTGGCGAAACCCATGCAAGAAGCACATCATGGAAGAGACACACATGCAATGGGTACGGTAGCCTTCATGAGGATGGGATGTCCCCAACCCCCACGTGAGGGGCTTGCCGTGTTGCGTGGAGGTGAGGTTGGCACGAGACCCATGCACGGCGCTTTGCGGGACACATGCGAGAAGCAGGTGT